CCCCCCTTCCCGCCCCGCCTCCCCGGGGCATACCGGTGCTGCACGTAGCTGCTCGCTCTCGCCGCGGCGTCGGTGTTCTCCACTGCATCGCGCTGCATAGCCCGCAGAGCCCCGGGCCTCGGGCTGTCTTGTCCACCGGGAGGAAACCGATCCCACACACCACGCCGCTCGATCGGAGCGGAGCAGCGGCAGAGCAGCTCGACTGCTGCGCTTTCCACGGACCCGTATAGTCGAGAGCAGACCGAGACCGAGCCCTGCGCTCCCATGTCTGCCTGCCTGCGGGTAGTTGGAAATATATCGTCCTCTTCGACCGGAGAAATGTGAAATGGCAGACCAAAAACCGAATTGAAACATTGTATTTCTATCAATCATTAGTTATCGTTGTTTTCGACTAAATAACCATAATACTCTGCTGCCCACACTACCCTCTCGGCAGAGTGTTCATTTCATGATAGAAATCTCGTAGAAATCGGTGTCGTGAATCTGCTAAAAACTATCCGCGTGTGTCTTTCAGTTTTCCACGTTGACGGTGTCATTGCTCGGACTGATCCGACCCGTGTAACTGCGCCTGCCCGGCCGCTGCCGCCCCGCCCCGCCGCGCATTCCCCGCGCCCGGTACTTTCCCGCATGTCATGTCGTCCGAGAGGCGTCGTCGTCGTAAGAGCGGTAGGCAGTAGGCAGACGACACGGAGAAGGCTATAGGCTCGTGCGAGGTGCTGGACCCGGCCCGGTGGCGTGGCGTCGTGCTGCTCCCACCCGCGTCCCATCGGGAAGTGAGAGAGGCGGAGGGGGTAGGTCAAGCGCGGCTCGCGGCGCAGGGCCCCGGAAGCCGCAGGAGCAACACCTGCACCAAAGGGAGCATCAGTAGCAGCGGCGGTGGTCCGGCCCGACCCGGTCGAGCCCGAGCCTCGCCGCCGCCAGCCGACCGGCAGCAACCAGGGAGGGAGAGTAATTGTAATAGCCAGGGAGGCTCCGGCCGCGGCAGTCGTTACGGGGGCCCGGGGGCGCACGGCACGCCTCCTGGGCCTCGTCCTGGACCGGACCGGGGAGCGCGTGTTCCACCTCATCATGCAAGGGGCATTCCAGCACAGCGTCGTCGCCCGGCCGTTGCGTGCTGCTGCGGCTCGCGCGGAGACACGAGGCGGGCGGT